GAGAGAGAGAGAGAGAGAGAGAGAGAGAGAGAGAGAGAGAGAGAGAGAGGTATGGGAAGCAGGATATAACCGAGAAGGAAGCGGAAGATGAAGGAGAAAGAAGGATAATCTTAATTTATGGAGTGTGAATCAAGTAAATCAGATCGTTGAGCACACAACGCTGGACATTACATGTCATGGAATACAAAGTGTGTTCTTGAGTGAGTTAGCAAAGAAAAGTGCTTGATGACACATCACCCTTCTCATCCATCCTATTGCGCAAGCGACGTATGGAGTGGATGAACAATCTTCCATCTGCAAAGCTTTGGACTCCGAGTGGTATAGTGTAGAACTGCATTGTCCATGCTGAAAATCAAGATGTGATAAAACAACTGAAAAACGAAGACATTCGTTTCGCTACTATGCGGCCGTCCTTTCTCTTGTTGGGCGAGGAAACCCGACAATCGCCTTCTCCTCTTCTTCCCTCATGAGCATGCCCTGGGTCAACGAGCACTGTGTCGGAGAGATGTATCGCAAGAAATGTGTGAGGAGGCTTCCTCACAAACCCAGGACTCTCACCAGATGTGTTCCTGAGAGCACCTACGGAAAAAATGCGCTTTTGTTGTGTGTGGCCTCCTGCTGGCTCTCCTCCCTCCGCAATATCCCCGACACCCCTACAACCTCTTACAAAAGAAAATTTAATCTGCTTTTGTTAAGAGTCCTTAGGACTCTTTAACTTCTTAAGGTAAGTCTCCCACAGAGCATTCTTATATATGCCTGGCAGTGCATGTGGCGACCTTACGGTTCCGACAAAAGAGTCCGGCCGGATGGTCTCACCGGATGTGTCCCTGAGAGCACCTACAGAAAAAATGCGCTTCTGTTGTGTGCGGCCTCCTGCTGGCTCTCCTCCCTCCGCAATATCCCCGACACCCTTTAGTATATACTATGTATACCATATGCCATATGGTATATATTCGTACTCTCCGTAGGGATTCCTTCAAGTGCCCGGCTTGCGTGTCGGCTTCGGAGATTCGACGAAGAAGCAGAAGCAAGCACTCTAGGCCACTCTGGGGCAACCCCCACCCCCACCCCTACCCCCACCCCCACCCCCACCCCCACCCCCACCACCTCCCCCTCCCATCCTCCACATCTCCTCCAGTTCTCAATCCCTCCATCTCCTATCCTCTCTACCCTGGACAGTTTCCACTCCGATCCCGTCTTGTCCAGTCTTTCTGCGCAGAAGTGGAGGCAAGATGCGCGCTCTGCGATCTTTCGGCACATTCAGCTCGTATGACATGGTCTGCGGCGGTCTGCGGCATTGTGTGCGAGAGCACACCGCCCCAGGGACGTGAAAGACTGGTCCAGTCACATACGTACGGTCAGGTAAAGCGACATCAGACTCCGTCCAAAGCACATTCCAAGCGACATACAAATCCGTATCATATTAATATGATAGGGATAGTTTGCAAAATACCCCCCAAAAGTTCAGATGTATGCGAAAATGCCCCTAAAGCATGTGAATAGAGCGGACTGATCCTCTGACAAAAAAACAAATCTCAACTACCGGTAGTGAAATAGGACGCACATTTCGCACTCTCGTCAAATGACGTCATTTGATGAATGGTTGGTTGCCGTGGAACAAAATAGCGAACTGCCAGAGTGGGGAAGATCGCACGCACAGAAAGCTTTCTGTAAACCGATCAGAAGATTCAGAACTTGACAGAACATTTGTAAAGCCCTGCACTGCGGTCAAGTCACATCTACCCTCCTCACCCCTCTTTCTCATTTGTTTGTCTATAAATAGCAGCTGCAGAAAATACAGACCAGGCCCAAGGGCCAAGACCAAGCCCAAGCTCTCTGTACTATGCATGTTGCGTCGTTTCTTACGTACCCCTCATCTTCCTTAAAAGGACTAGTACAAGCTGGGACACGTATATGAGGATCCAGGAGTCGGACACCTCGCCTGCAAGGAGGAGACAAGCTGCATCACCACCCAGCCTGCAGCAAGCCTGCAACACCCAGCCTGCAGCAGGCCTGCACCACCCAGCCTGCAGCAAGCCTGCACCCAGCCTGCAGCAAGACTACACCACCCACCCTGCAGCAAGCCTGCACCACCCAGCCAGCAGCAAGCCTGCACCACCTAGCCTGCAGCAAGCCTGCACCACCCAGCCTGCAGCAAGCCTGCACCACCCAGCCTGCAGCAAGCCTGCACCACGCAGCCTGCAGCAAGCCTGCACCACCCTCGGACACACCTTGCAAGGAGAACACAAGCTGCACATCACCACCCAGCCTGCAGCAAGCCTGCAGGTTAGTCAGGCAATCCTGTGCGTCCCTGCATCCGTTAAATGGTTGATGTGAATGCTGCTGCTGTTGCTGCTGCTGCTGAAGAGTCAGTGAAGACTCAGAGACACATGCAAGGACACACTAATCCTGCTGCTCAGCCAGTCTGCAAGGATAGGTCAAGTCAGCCCCGATTCTGTCATCGTCCAGAATGATGATGATGAATGGCGGTGAACAATTCAGAAAGTCACAGGTAAAGCAACTGCCCCTTGGCCTGCAGGGCAGCTGCACTACCGTCTTCACCCGAACAGAACGGCTGGTCATTATCGCTGGATTTGGTGCAGCTTTCAGTCCAGAAGCGGCAGTAAGGACCGGGCGTTCTATTCGGGTAAAGACGGTAGTGGTATGCCACCTTGCCTTCTGCTCCGCCACTCCGCAGGTGAAGTAACTCCTTGCCCAATTTTCTTCTGCGGTTCTCGGAATCCCGAGAACGAGATATGGTGAATCGCACGGCAGAGGTGAATCCGACGACGATCGGACGGAGGCAAGCTGCATGAGCAGTCAGCCAGCTCCTTGTCCGCCAGTCCGCAGCAGGCCAGTCCAGGTCAGTCACTGACAGCATATGTTCTGTTAATCCACAGAATGCTGGAGGGTGCTGAAAGTGGCATTGATTCTCGAAATCCGCTCAACCACTTCACTCATGGCAGGTCTAGCGTCTGGCCAGGGCTGCACACACTTTGCTGCGACGTTAGCAAGCGCGTAGACGGTTCGCAATTGCATCGCGGTAATGTTTAGTTCGGGATCAGTGATCTCCATAAGAGAGGATGTGCTCAACACCTCCAGAAGTGGAGTTGCCCATGCTACAAGCGTAATAGTTTGCGACCCATTATCTCTGATAACTGCTTTCTTGCCAGTGATCAGCTCCAAAAGGACGACTCCGAACGCATAGACGTCATTTTTCTCAGTCAATTTGCCGTCTACTAAGTACTCAGGTGGCATGTAGCCGTACGTACCGGACAAGTGGCATGTCTGCAGCGCGTTGCCCTGGACATCGAGCAGTGCATTGCCTCCAAGTTTCGCAAGCCCGAAATCGGTAAGCCATGCCCAGACCCTGGTGGTCCCAGCGATCGTCTCCAACAAGATATTGCTGCTTTTGACATCCCGATGCACGACGGGCGGATTCGCTTCCTCGTGCAAGTACCGAAGCACCATTGCAATGTGCATAGCTACGGTGACACGCGTTTGCCAGTCCAGGTTGAGCTGAGCAGCGGGCTGCTTGGAACTGGAGCTCTTTGACAAGGAAGGCAAGCTCGATAACCTCTTGCTCTGACTCATGTTCGTGGTGCTGCTGCAGCTGCAGCTCTCCTCCTTCTTCACTTGCTCGTCACAACCATGCAGGCAATCGTGCAGGCTTCCCCCATGAATGAAGGGGTATATCAGCAACAGTTTGTCCTTTTCGGCGCAGTAACCCATCAGCTCACAAAGATGCGCATGATGCAGCTTGCTCTGCACTTGCACTTCCGCGAGAAACTGCCTGTACTTGGCATCGGTTAGCTCTCCTGTCATCTTCTTGATCGCAACCACACGCTTATCCTCGAGCACACCCCGGTACACTTCACCGAAACCTCCTTTCTTAGGTACAAGATGCTTCGTGCTGAAGTTACTAGTTGCGTGAGCTAGCGTCTCAAGAGAGAAATTCGTCATCTTGTGTATTCCGAGCAAACCGTCCCGGTTTTCCCCTCCGTGATCCCCGAGGCCACTTGTCATCATGCCACTTATCCCAGAGCTAACGGACGTGGAGCACCTCAAGCTGTTCCCATTCTTGACTCCACCGGAACCCAAGTTAAAAGCAAAACCCAAACCCAAACCCATACCCAATCCTCCCTTCTTCTCCAGGTCCGCGTCCTGGTGCCTCCTCCTCGTGGAGATCAGCCAGGTCACAATGAGCGTCAACGCCACAGCGCCGACCGCACTTCCTAGTATCGCTGCTGCAAGAACTCCCACGCGTGAACGTTTGCTTGAACCCCCTCCACCCTCGCCAGCTGGCAATGACGTCGCGGCACTGTTTTCACCCAGCTGTTGAGCGCCAGCTCGAAGCAAGGAGCTGTGGAGTGAACTATCATAATACCCTTCGGACGGCGTGGACGAAGACGTGGTCCTGCTCTCAGAGTCTGCGGACACAAGCGAGCTGGACGAGAGCGACATAGACTGTATCTTTGACCCAGAGGTTGAACCCTTGCCAGTGGGTCTAGATTGTGCAGACATACTCAAGGAATGTGCGCTGCTGGACGTCGGCACAGATTCTCTCGCCGAGTCTGATCCATCTGCGGAGTCTGAGATCCATGCACTAGGTGCCCATGGCACAGAGGCACTTGCAGACGAAGACAGGGCTTCATCTGAGATGTCTGCATCCCTTGGAGAAGATAGAGAAGCTTGCTGTGATAGAGGCTCTTCCTCGGGGGGACCACCAGAAGACACTGCAGGTTGCAGAGGAGCTGACTCTTCTTGCAATGGCACAGAAGAAGGAGGGGAGGGAGGAGGAGGAGGAGGAGGAGGAGGAGGAGGAGAGGGCGTAGAGCAGGTATAAAGCGATGACGTGTTTATATGCAGTTTGAACAGTGTGCTGTGCTCTGCCCCTAACAAGATGAAATCATCGTTTGGACTGATGGCGAGCGATCCGCATTGGCACATGCCCTCACCTGCACCCCCCCCTAGATCGGCAACGGTATCGACGGCTAGGGCTGGGCCACCTGGTGACTGGAAGGTGATCCTTCTCAGTAACTGGCCATGCCTCTCACATACGAACAGATTGCATCCATCGGACGTTAAGGCCATCCCTCGAGGCTCATCGAACTGGGCGGCAATCGGTGTGCCATCTTGATGACCTTGCGTGCTACCGGCTATGGTCTCCGTCAATCCGTTATTTGTGTGCACTCTACGAATCCGATGGTTCAGCGTGTCGGCCACATACAACACACCTCCATCCCCTGACAGCGCTGAGGGCTCGACGTGTGGCTCATGGAAACGTACCTCAGAGTACAGGTTGTTGTCCACCCAACCTGTCGTGTCGCTCCCGATCGGAGGGCCTGCCAGGACTTTGGCCGCTTTCTCTTCTAGCTGGACAGTAAGTATGCTAGAGGTCGATGAGACGTACATTTTCTTGTTGTCGTGGTCGATCGCCACACCGTTCGGGGCTGAGTATGTGGATGCGAAGTGGCTCGTTTCACCGGTGCTGACATCTACAGCCCGGACCATTTGATTTCCACTGTCAGCCACATACACCACTGACCCATCCGCCGAGAGCGCAATGCCCTGGGAGTCGTTGAACCATGCTGAAGTCCCACTCCCCTCGTGGTATCCGATATAGTCCACGCCCGCTAGAAATGGTGGATTCATGTTCCCTTCACCGTCCTGTGACAGCCTAAGTATCCTCGAGGAACCATTGCCTGCAGCCGAGAAGAACACGCTACTGCCATCTGACGATACATCCACACCACCCAAGGTAAGGGAAGACGGCTCTTTCCGAGTGATGTCAACATTGTTGATCAGGTCGGTTGCATCCGTCAACAGCATCGAATTCCGTATAGAGATAACGCAAAAGCCACCATATAGTAGTTTCCTACGGCCGGGAATGGTGGTCGTTCCCACAGCAGCAGCAGTACTAGACGTACTAGTAGTACTAGTGATACGACTAATAGTAGCGCTAGTACTAGTACTAGTTATATTACCACTGGTAGTAGGAGTTATAGGAGGAGGAGGAGCAGTAGGAGTAGGTATAGGAGTTATAGGAGGGGGAGGAGGAAGCAGAGCGGGATAAGGAACACTAGGTGTACTTCTGTTGGATGCAGCCATGACAAGTAGACTTGAGAGGAGGATCAAGCCAAGATGAAAGAGCGCACACAATCTGGCTCTTCCACTGCCATTCAGCATCGAGCATGACCCTAAGGAGGCCATTGTTCCTGTAGTCGTCCTCAGCAAACTCCACCGGGAGTGCCGATTGCAACGGTATTTGCATTGTGGCTTTGGCCACTGACAACAGATGCGTTTCGGTCCCACCAAGGTCGCCCTGTTCCCAACAACATTATATACTCTTGGTGCCAGCATCGAACTTCGAACTTGATGGAACGATGCAGTTAGAGTTGTGAACCTCCCTCGGAGTCCTCTTTCAAGGACAGTGAACCACCAAGTTCAAAAAGTTCAAAAAGTCCAACAAGTTCAACAAGTTCAACAAGTTCAACAAGTTCAACCTGCGCTGAGCACCCTTCTGTGTGGCGTCCATAGGACTTACCCAAAGCCCTGAGGAGTGAGATTATCTGCTGCGCCGTGAGAGCTCGTGTTAATCGCAATGTTCAAAGCATCTGCATCAGATTCTGTGTTGAGTGCGTCATGATGTAGCACAGCCAACCAAACATGTTGCACAGCCACAATCGGATCACACCTTCCTCTTCCCCCATACCACACCCTGTCGATCCCTCGAGACCCACCACCAACCACCTGGTCCAGCAAAACACAACACCGAACCAACATTTGCAGATTGTAAAAATACATACTATGAAATGACCTATGAAATGACCAAAGGGATGATGGCAAATGTGTGTGTGTGTGTGTGTGTGTGTGTGTGTGTGTGTGTGTGAGAGAGAGAGAGAGAGAGAGAGAGAGAGAGAGAGAGAGAGAGAGAGAGAG